AAGAGATCTGCTGCTAACCAGAAGGTTAGCAGTTCAAATCCACCAGCTACTTATTGGAAACCCTATGGGGCAGTTCTGCTCTGTCCTATAGGGTTGCTATGAATCAGAATCAGAATCTAATCAGAACCGACTTGACAGCAAGTTTTTTTTTTAATTGCACTTCTAGTTTCTGAAATTATATTGGCATCTCATGTCTACATCTTCTGCTTTCCTGTCCCTTATCCATGTGTGCTTATGCCTTTTAAATTTCCTCATGACCATTTTAGATAGTTTTCAGAAGGGAGTGGAGATTTGACATCTATGTTCAATCTATTGTGTAGTGGCCTTATATAATGAGTATTAATAAAAAAAGTTTGCCAATATGAAAGGTAAAAAATGGAATCTGATTTTCATCTGCATTATTAGGTTGTTAAATCTTTTCATGTTTTATTGCCCATTTATATTTCATTTGTGATTTTCTTTTTCATGTCTATTGTTCATTTTTCTATCGTGATGTAATTCTTTCTCTGGCTTTCTTTGTGTTGGTGCCCCACTACTTGCATGTCATGTAGTTCTTGACTTTTTTTTAAGATTGAATTTTTGTTGAGAGACTATTCTTTTAGTTATATACACGCGTATTTTAAAATTAATCTAACTACTTCAAAAATTTAATTGGTGATTTTAGAGGTTTAGAGGTTCCTGAGTCCCTGGGTGGCGCAAATAGTTAAACACTGGACTACTGACCGAAAGGTGGGCAGTTCAAACCCACCCAGAGGCTCCTTGGAAGATAGGCCTGGTGATCGGCTTCCAAAAGCTTACAGCCTTGAAAACTCTGGACAAGTTCTACTCTGCACTCAGGGAGTCACCATGAGTTGGAATTGACTTGACAGCAACAACAGAGGTTCTTAGGCTGTTAGGTTGGGTTGGTTGGTTTGTTTATTTACATCGTTTCTGCAAGTCTTACATGTTATCTTTGAATGTGAGAGATGTTGGCATGGGTTTCATAATCCAAGTGTCCCCCAAAAGCAATACTGATCAAATGATATTAGGAGAAGGTAGTTGTCAGATAGCTTAGCAAATACATTTCACCCTGTTATTTGATAGGCATTATCTTTAAAAATATTTGTTGAAGCTTACGTACAACATAGCTAAATCCAAGGTGTTCATTCTAAAAAGTATACATAAGTATAGTTTTTTGCCTTTTTCTCCCTCTCAAGAGCCCATGCTGGTTAGGAAAAACTTCTGGTGCATAACTTTTCATACTAGTTCCTGGAAGAAGTAGCCTGCAAGCATGATACCAAAAACAAAAAACAAACCCATTGCTGTTGAGTCGATTCCAACTCATAGCGACCCTGTTAGGACAGAGTAGAACCGTCCTATAGGGTTTTAAAGGCTGTACATTTTTACGGATGCAGACTGCCACATATTTCTCCTGCAGAGCTGCTGCTGGGTTCGAACCACGGACCTTTTGGTTAGCAGCTGACTGCTTAACCGGATGATAACCACCTGTTTTCTACTTCTCAGGCAGCAGCGATAGAAAGCTCCTGGTCCTGCAAAGTTATTTTTCAGCCAGCCTTGCTGTTTTCAATCACTTTTGACTTCTGGTGAATTTGCTGCCTAAAATCAGTTTTTAATCAGTAAGAAGTTAAGAGAATAAAATTTGCTTTCTGTGACCTTCACGCAATCCACAAAACTGTGACTAAATTTTATTAAAATTTTTACCCTTGGAGACCATTATCATTTTTGCTTCCATTTTATATAAGCTCAGTAGATGACATTTTCTTTACAATATTGTGGATATCATTTTTCTAAAGAAAGTTGAGCCTTTGGGTTCTCAGGATAACGTTGTTCCCTCGCTTTCTGACAAAGTATAAGAGCTTTGGAGGGAAAGGATCCTGTTTTAGGGCTAGTTTAACTACTTAAACATTAAATAGCTCTAATACTAAATCTAAATCAAATGTATGTCCACTGCTCACAAAGTTTATTCCTTACAAAGTGCTATTCTGTTTATCCCTTTAGTGTGAATTCTGAAATCACTACAATACCCAAGAAACATGTTGGTTTTTCTTGGGTGGTTTTTGTATGACTTCAGAGCTCCGTGCAGGTGTAGGAAAGTGTCTTCCCAACATGCAGTCACTTGAATTCATTTGCTGTGAATGTCATCCTCTTTACTGTTGCCCAGCTACCTTAGTTTCCTGGAATGCTTCACAATTCAAGCTTAGTCTCTGTGTGGCATGTCTTGGCTCATTAGGGTTCTGAATACTGCCATTCAGAGTAGAGTATTTTCTAATGGACCCTCCTGTTACAATTTTTTCTAAGCAACGTAGAGATTTAGCCTTTTTTTAAAAAAAATTAAATTCGTCTCTTAAGAGGCATTTGCTCAGTCAGCCAGTATGAATGAATGCCTACTGTGTGTCAAGTCTGTGCTAGATGATAGTAATATAAGTATAGTTTGCACATTTTTCTTGTCCTTATGGCTTACATTCTAATGTATACAAAAATGTTACAAAATTTTTTCAGATAAAATCCCGTTAAGTGCTATGAAGGAAAAGTGCAGTATTCAATGAGGTTAATAGGGGACCTGAACTGGGGGATGGCTCAGTTTGAGACTTTAAAGGGTAAGGAAGAGTTTGGTTTGGCAGGTGGTGAAGGGAGCCAAGAGCGGAAAAAGTCTATAGAGGTTTTTTGTTTATTCAAAGTGCAGTTATTTTTAGATGCTGTTTTCTCAAACTTTTATTCTTATCATTTAGAGAGGATTTGGTAATGTTTACATTTTACATGAATGGTACCTGGTTTTTTTTAGCTTGTTTTTTTAAGCCTCTTTAAACAGTGGTGTAACTTAATTTTTCTGTCAAGAGTAAGTAAGGCCCGAGGACAGTGGCTTGCATTGAGCATAGGTACAAAGGAGAACTTTAAGATGTGGTAGCATGCAGAACAATCAAGTGCCCATCGTTGGACATGTCAGCAATAGCTTGCCAAGACGTCCAGCTGCTTGTGTCAGAGAGGGTCTCTGAAACATTGCTGGATTTCTTTTTCTGTCTCAGGGAATACTCACCAAGGGACTATTTCATGAAGGGAAGATGACTAACGGTGGTCTTTATGTTCTTTACCACTAATGCTCTAGGTTTTCACTTATTTAAATTAACTGAGTCACTAATTCACAGTTATCACATTCAATTCCTTCCTAATCTTCAAGTTAAAATTACTGCCTCAGAAAATTGTACCATGTTGATCCTGGGCTTTAATTAGTATTCCAATTCAAGAAACTAAGACATTTGTAGTAATGGTTACTAGAGAAATTTAATAACTTGCTTTAGAAACCATGATTGAATTAAAGAATATATTTTTTCTAAGCCTAACTTGTAATAGTATTTCTTTATAGAAATGTTTAGTCTTGCATATTCATTATACAGTAGGTCCTCTATATCCATGGGTTCTGAACCCGTGGATTCCACTAACCATGGATTGAAAATACTTAGGGAAAAAACAAAAGTGACATGTAGGCATACCCTGCCATTTCACAGATCTTTAGTCTTTGTCCAGCGCTTGTTGTTTGAACACTGTTCTCCTTGTGTCTGACGTGTACTACAGTTAGGTATATACTGGTTGTGTCTATACTGAATACGTACCTTGTTTTTTCTGGTCATTATTCCCTAAACAATACAGTGTAACATAGCATTTACATTGTGTTAGGTATTATAAGTAATCTCGAGATGATTTGTTTAAAGTTTACGGGAGGATGTGTGTAGGTTATATGCAAATACTGCGCCATTTTCTCTAAGGGATTAGAGCATCCTTGAAGTTTGGTACCTCCGGAGGTTCCTGGAACCAGTCCCCCGCGGGTACCGAGGGATGGCTCTATGTGCATAGTTTATTTTGGTTTTAGCACAGTATACTTATCATTAAGTAGACGCAACGGAACACTTTCACTTTTTATTTAGTTTGCATTACGTAGAAACAAACTTTAAAGCACTGTGTTACAAATTAATTGGAATTATTTTGTGTAGGATGATTTTTGATCCAAAGGAATAAGCTCTTAAAGATGATCAATTATTCAATATTATATAGTGGGGCAGTGGTGGTTCCGTGGTAGAATTCTTGCCTTCCATGCGGGAGACCTGGGTTTGATTCCTGACCAGTGCACCTCAAGCGCAGCCACCACCTGTCTGGCTTGCGTGTTGTCATGATGCTGAACAGGTTTTACTGGAACTTCCAAACTAAGATTAGGAAGAAAGGCCTGGCAGTCTACTTCCAAAAAAATTAGCCATTGAAAACCCTATGGATTACGATGGTCTGTTCTCATTGTAAACGGGGTTGCCGGGAGTTGGGACTGACTGACTTGATGACGGCTACCAACAATGTATTATATACAGGATTGAATTGCTAAGAAAGCTTCATTGTTTTTATCTCAGTCTTTATTTTCTTTATAAACGATAACTAGAGTTAGATAGGGTAGCAGCTGTTGACTCTGACTCATGGTGACCTTGCGGACAACAGAACAAAATGTTGCCCAGTCCTGCGCCATCCTTACAATTTCCTGTATGTTCAAGCGCATCACTGTGGCCATCGTGCTGGTCCATCTCAACAAGGGTCGCCCTTGCCCTCGCTGGCCCTCTGCTTCACTAAGCATGATGTCGCCTTCCAAAGATTGATCTCTCCTGGTGAGGTGGCCCAAGCAAGTTAGATGGACAGTGTTCTGTTGAGATTCATAAGGTGTTCATTGGCTTATTTTTGGAAGTAGATTGCCAGGCCTTTCTTACTAGTTTGTCTTAGTCTGGAAACTAAACTGCTGAAACCTGTTCACCATGGGTAATCCTGCTGGTATTTGAAATACTGGTAGTATAGCTTCCAGTATCTTAGCAACACGCAAGCCACCACAGCATGATAAACTGAGAAGAGTGGTGGTTTTAAATATAAAACACAGTATGCTAACAGTTTGGCGGTTAATGCCTTAAACTTTACATAATATGTGCAGGTTCTTTGTTATATGTAGACTTAAAATATTCTTTTTCTCTTGACAGGAAATGCACAATTTTGAGGATGAGTTAACGTGTCCCATTTGTTATAGTATTTTTGAAGATCCTCGTGTACTACCATGCTCTCATACATTTTGTAGAAATTGTTTGGAAAATGTTCTTCAGGCATCTGGCAACTTTTATATTTGGAGACCTTTACGAATACCACTCAAGTGCCCTAACTGCAGAAGTATTATTGAAATTGCTTCAACTGGTATCGAGTCTTTGCCTGTTAATTTTGCATTAAAGGCTATTATTGAAAAGTACCAGCAAGAAGACCATCCAGATATTGTTACCTGCCCTGAACATTACAGGCAGCCATTAAATGTTTATTGTCTACTAGATAAAAAATTAGTTTGTGGTCATTGCCTCACCATAGGTCAACATCATGGTCATCCTATAGATGATCTTGAAAGTGCCTATCTGAAAGAAAAGGACACGCCTCAAAAACTCCTTGCACAGTTAACTGACACACACTGGACAGATGTTACTCGTCTTACTGAAAAGCTACAAGAACAAAAATTTCATTCTGAGAAAATGGTCCAAGGTGATAAGGAAGTTGTTCTCCAGTATTTTAAGGAGCTTAGCGATATATTAGAACAGAAAAAAAATTTCTTCCTAACTGCTCTCTGTGATGTTGGAAATCTGATTAATCAAGAATACACTCCACAAATTGAAACAATGAAAGAAATAAGAGAGCAGCAGCTTGAATTAATGACACTTACAACGTCTTTGCAAGAAGAGTCTCCACTTAAATTTCTTGAAAAAGTCGATGATGTCCGTCAGCGTGTGCAGACCTTGAAACAAAGACCACTTCCTGAAGCTCAACCTGTTGAAATTTATCCTCGAGTAAGCCAAGTACTAAAAGAATGGTGCAGAACAGAAATTGGACAAATTAAGAAGGTCCTCATTCCTGAAATGAAAATTTCCTCAAAAAAGATGCCATCGTCCTGGCCTGATAGGGATGAAAAAGAAGTTGAATTTTTTAAAATTTTAAACATCGTTATAGTTACACTAATTTCAGTGATACTGATGTCGATATTCTTTTTTAACCAACACGTAATCACCTTTTTAAATGAAGTAACTTTAGTATGTTTTTCTGAAGTCTCTCTATCTGTTTATCAAAGTTTTTCTAACAGTCTGTATGATTTAAAGGATAGCCTATGTTACACTTTATATTTGCTGAAGGAATTTATGTGGAAAATAGTTTCTCACTGAAAATTCAAATCTCGACTTGCTTAAATAGGCTTAATCTGTACTCAAAAGACTAAATGGAGAAATAGGGATAGCATGGATAAAAAGCTAATTTTAGAGTTACAACAAATATAAATATATAGAAATATACTTTTCATACTTCTGTTGGATAGAAATGTGTGAAAGAAGCAAGACATGTCTGAAACATGATTCCAATCATTAGAAAATGAGAATAAAATCTATTATATAGTTTTTATTAAAAATATATTATCCCATTTTTGACTTGATATAAGTTGACTTAATATTGCACTGTGACATTTAAGCATTCCTGTACCTACCAGTATTATTTTACCATAATTATATACTGCAGTGGTTGGCTTTGCAATTCTTTACGTAGCTTTTAGACTGAAAGATGGCAAAAACCTGAAAGTGTCTGTGCCTTTATCTACCTTTTGAATGGTGCATAAAGGTGGTGAGAAGTAGTTTTTAAAGTCAAGCAGTGCAGTATAAAAGTGATAAGGGATTAGTTAAAGATTTTTCTATTTGATCAAACATTTCCTAAGCCACACATCTAATGTGTTTTAAATTAAGAGCCCTAAAATTTTTATAAACATTCATTCCAAATAAAGCTGTTGGCTTTTGGATAATCTGGTAAGAGGGAACAGTGACATTTTCTAATAATTGTCATATTCTATAATTTATTGTACACAGGGTCACTATGAGTCAGAACCAACTTGACAGCACCTAACAATGATCTGTTGTAAATTTAAGATTGTATTTGATCTTGTATAGTGTTTTAGTTTTGCCACTAGTTAAATGAGTTATTGGGTAAAAACTCTAAAACATGTTACTTGAATTATGTGAGCAGAATGGAATTGGTGACATTCCAGTCTCACCAGATTTTGATGGCATCATGTGAACTTAACTTTTACTTTAGAAACAACTTTTCTGGCTCCTCAACATTCCCTTATGCTAATACCTAAGTGCCAACAATTTTATCTAGTTTTCCTGAATTTTGCTTAGAGAACCTACTATATTACCATGTCTCTTTTTAAGTCATTTCATTTGAACAGTGACTACAGCTGTGATGCTTGTGGTAGGACTTTTTTGGTTTATTGTCCGTCCATGCAAACTTTAGTGCAAACTGCTGCTTTCCAGCTTCCAAAATAGACTGCTGCTCTTAGCGATCACACTTCTATGAGTCTCACCTAATTTGGAGACTTTCCGGGTCAGGTTAGGCAATGTTTCTGGCCCTCCAGATTATATATAAAAGTTTTAATGAATAAATATGGTTGTAGTAAGGGCATTACTTCTAAAGCACTGCTAAGGGCTTATCTGCTGAGAACAAGTCTTAAAGAAGTTTGATTGATAGTCTAAACTGGCCACATTAACTCAATTTGTGACAAAAATCAGACTATGCCGAGCACAATTACTGTGGGGGCCAAGAGCACTTGAACGGTGTCACGGGTCGAGGGAGGCATCTATTCAGCTACTTGGAAATGTAAATACGTATTAACTTCAGACTGAAGCATTGATTTTACTAAAAATATTAAGTCTTGCCACAAAATTGGCAATATATGTCTTATCACAAAAGTGCCATGTATTTTAAAATAAATATTAATATTAGTAAGCATTGCAATATTAGCTATTATGCATCAAGCTCTTCATCTCCCAGTTCTGAAGTAGGTATTATTAACCTATTATTAACCTCCACTTTCTATAGATGAAGGAACAGGCACAGAAGTGACTTGCCCAAGGCCTTGCAGCTGCTGTTAGAACCAGAACTCAAAACCATACCTTCACTTCAGAGCTCCTGCCAGCTCTAAAGGATTTAAGTAGGCCAAGATTAATTTTATTAGTTTCCAAGCTGTGTTTAAGAATTATTTGTAGCTAAATATTGAAGTGTACATATAGTGCCTATTAACTTTTATGCTTGACATAACTGTTCTGTAACTTGCTAGTTTTTAGTGGATGAGACTATTTTTTGATGAATTTTATTAAGTGTGCATGAATAGTCGAGTACCAAGTAACTGATTCTTTATACATGCTGCTGTTCTCTTTTGTATTTTTAACAGGAGGATGAGACTATATAACTTAAATCTTGCAATATTTCTAGGTTTTATGTATAACAAAAGTATGCATTTTAATAAATTCATTTTGATATTTCAGTTGCACTGAATGGCTTAATTAATAAGGCCCTGAAACTTTGGAATTTTTACGTGAGAATGGGTATTATCTACTTTAACTCTCTAAAACTTAGTATAGAGCTACTACTCCATTGGTTATCAAAATGTAATAAAAATATTAAATTTCATCTCTACTCACCAATGAAAAAAGTATTATATAACTTTTCAAATTACAAGGGAAGTATACATGCATTATTAAATCCTTCCAGACTTTATATAAAATGAACATACTTGAGTTTCAGATTTTGCTTTATTTAGGTCCATACTTAATATGTTTACATTTTAATGGATATACAGGATACAAACTGTTAGATTTTTAATACCTAATCAATGGAGCACTGAATGGGGCAATTAAGTCTTAATTCCTCAGGTCATATAGCTAGAAATTGACTAGCTAGGGCCAAGACTTTTGATTCAATACCAAAACACCTTTAAGAACCAAGTGGTTGCGAATTTATTTCCAGTAGCATTATAATACTTGAACCATCACAGTGTTTAAAAAAAAAAAAAAAAAACAAAAACACCTGACAATCTGACAGGCAAAACAAATGGCATTCCATCCTCATTTCCATTTATTACTAAGGCAGTTAACCCCGGTATAGTTCAGTCTTTTTATAAAGCAACTCTAGTGTGGCACTGTTCCTTTTAGACTTACAAGATACCCTAGTCATGTTGAGTAATTGTTGGTTCTCTTGCAAGGACGTTTTAAAAAAGTCAAGCCTGACAAATTTTAGAAAAGCATGTATTTAAATTCTCATCCCTACAATTCAGAATGATTGATTTAAAAAGAAAGTTTCCATTATTTGGGTAATAAATATAGTGATAGTCTAAATTTGTAAGTAGAATGCTGTCTTAGGCTGGGTTCTCTAGAGAAGCAAAACCAGTCAAGCATGTGTATATATACAGAAAGGAGGAGGAAGCTCCCCTTACAACTGATTGGCTCATCACATCAGATCACATCATGGAGGATGACTACATCATTATATAACTGCCAAACTACATCACTGCATAACTGTCAAAGCCTTGAGAATCATGGCTCAGCCAAGCTGACACAACCATAACCATCACAAATGCCTTAATTTACCCAAGATTAGTTGGCAGCTTTTCCAGTGTAGACTGAAGGTCCATGAAGGCATGCTGAGCTCTTTGATCACTCAGTCTAGTTGAGAATTTTACTGTGCATCAACGAACTTGTAGCTCTGCTGGTAGAACTTGGGGCTAAAGGCAAGTCACCTAAACCCTCCAGGCATCTTTTTTGCTCATGGTCTGAGGCTTACAAAATGGCCAGATTCCTACAACTTCCTAGAAGCACGTATAGAGAATATTTTATTAGACTTACAAACATGTCATAAATTAACAACACAAAATTAAATTTTGTGATCCAGTTTAGTAATATGCGTTTTATACAATTAATCATTTACAAAAAGAAAATACAATACACAAACTATGCAGATGGAATTTGAAGAATCTTCAGAATAATCAAGTTTAGCAAAGTCCTTTAGATGCAATTTCTTTTGGGTTTACTGCAACACTTTTTGTTATATTGTATGTCTTGTAAATTCCAATAAGTCTATCTGAAATCTCAAACATATTATTTCGAAGAGAAATTATTATGAACTGGGCATTTTTTGTCTGTTCCTAAAGAGAAAGAAAGGAAAAGTTAGAAATACTACATTATAACAGGTGAATCATACTAAACACCTAAACTTTCATTTCCCTACAACTATTTTTGGGCAATAAATGCAACATTATATTGATGAATTTACATGAACAGGAATGATGGCATGGATAATTCATATAACAGTATTTGGCTTTGGAAGAAATTTGGAAATTTTGGAAGCATGGTGGCCTTATAAGTCTTCTAGTGGAAAATACCTTGATAGTAGACCTGGGATTCTAGCTGTTCAATCTGGTGCTAATGTGCACTTTCAATTTATATTTTAGCTTTCCAAAATGGAAATACTTGGTTCAGTAATAGGACTTTGTCTACTTTCACACTACAGGACGTGGTGTTGGAGAATAGGGAAAAAAACTCAAAAGTAAGGAGTAAGTCAAAGAATTCTATGTGTAAAATTTTCAGAATGAAAACCCCTAAATGAATACTTACATATATATAAAATGCAACAATAGACACATTTTTAAAATCAAGGGCTGCATCAATCTCGTCCATGAAGTAAAGGGGAGTGGGCTTGTAGTGGTGAAGAGCAAATACTAAAGCCAATGAACTGAGAGTTTTCTCTCCTCCAGAAAGGTTGAAGATTTTCTTCCAACTTTTCTTAGGTGGTCGAACACTGAAATCAGAAAATTCTCTATTAGTCACATTACTTGTTAAGACTTCATGATTTTCAACTGCCTTCTACCACCTTCTTCCTTGGGAATCTCTAATTTGCTTTTCACAATATTACTTAAGGATGAACACCTACCAAACAGCAGGCTAATAAGTATTCTCACTATTCTTCCCCCTTTTTCCAATGTAATTTTTCACTTTTAAATTTTTAAGTCTTGATGTTAAACTGAAATGGCTTAAAAAAAAAAAAAAAGAACAACTAGATGAGTATTCTGAAAAAATTAAATACTTGCTGTTTGTCCTTAATTTCTGCTGTAAAAATCTCAGTATGTGAACAAATTAGTATTTAAGTAAAACAAGTTTCACATCTAACCTTCACATACCAACCCCAAGAAATACTAAGAGTTAAGAGATAAGTAACATTAGGATTCAAACTTACAAACCTGAACATAACTCCTTCAGAGAAGGGATCCAAGCTGTCTACAAGCTCCAGTTCAGCATCACCTCCCAAAGTTAGCATCTGGTAATTTTCTTTTAATTTATTTGTTATTACATAAAAGCCAGCCATAAATTCATTAAGCCTTTGTTTCCGAAGATCTTCACATGCCTGTCTAAAACGGTCTCTTTCGTAAGTAATTTTGTCCAACTCTGCTACCCGCTGCAAATATAATTCTTCCTAGGAAAACAACATTACCATGAGAAAATCATCTGTGAGACTAAACATGGCTAGTTATATAAAGTTTCACAACATAGTCAAAGGACTAAAGGGGCTTTCTAACTATTGAGCATAATGGCTCATCCATACCTTCTTTTTATACTCTGCAATGGCACCAAGGTTTGGTTTCATTTCATGACACTGGGCTTCCAAAAGCGCAATTTGATTTGTTATAGAATCTGGATTCTTGATTGTTTCAAGATCCTCTGGACTTAGAACTGACACCTCTTCAACAGGATTATCTTCTATAGGATGCAATGATATTTTTGAAATCTAAAAGTTTATTTGAAATGAATGTTAGAGAAGGTACAACACTATAGGTGACTGTTTAAAAACTGAGAATATATGACAATTTACATACCTAGTAAAACAATATATGCTAGAGTTTTAACTAATTTGTTTTTCAATTTTTTTAAAATCTCTAAGAAAAATACTGTAACTTTTCAAAGTGTTCATGTAACCTTTTGTTAAAACGTCAGATTATCTTTTAGGGTGAAATTGCAGTTGACTAGTTCTAACCATTACCCAGATTTTTATGTATATTTTGATTATCATAGGTTGTTTATTTTATCTCCAATAAACCTGAGAAGTGATTATATTATCGAATTAAGAATCACAACGTGCCTCAAAAACAAACAAAAACCACCCTTTCCCCATAAAGGATATATTTTAAATAAGTGAAATTTAAATGGTAACAGTCTCACCTCTTTTTGCCAATATTTTATTTTCGAATTATGTTCAGCAATGTGACCATCTATCTGTTCAAGTTTCAACTTAATACTAAGTGCATCTTTTTGAAGCGCATGCTCATTCTCTTGAAGGACTTTTAGTTCTTGAAGTAGATTACGATGTTCTTTTTGGATCTCTGGCAAAGACTCCTAAAAAAAATCAAGAAGAACTGCTCCAGATACGATCTTTACAAATAGAAAACCAGTTGCTGTTGAGCTGATTCTGACTCATAGTGACCCCATGTGTGTCAGAGTAAAACTGTGCTCCACAGAGTTTTCAATGGCTGAGTTTTCTGAAGTAGACTGCCAGGACTTTCTTCCAAGGCACCTCTGGGTAGACGTGAACCTCCAACCTTTTGGTTAGCGGCTGAGCATGTTAACTGTTTGTATCACCCAGGGAATCCTCCCAGATAGAAAGAACAGACATGTTCACTATTACAAAGATAAAGGAGGAGTTACCAATCTCTCCCCATACTTCTTCCATTTTAAATTAAAAACAACAAAAACCTTTTTAATTTACAGAAACGTTATAATACAAGTACTCATATACATTCCTTACCCAAATTTACTAGTTTTAAACATTCTGTTACACTCGACATAAAAATTTTAACTGATTATTTCTGAGCGGTAGGATTCACAAATGAGTTATATTTTCTAATACACAATATTTTATTGTACAAATCAGTCAACAGTTATAAAAACTTTTTGAACCTATTGAATGTTTAGTGTATGTGAGTCCCTGATATCCAACTCTTTAAACTATTTCAAATCCTATACCCTTCCCTCTTCCAATGGAAGAACATGTCTTACCTCTGCAGCATCTGTGTTCTTCACAACCTCTGCTGCTCTGTCCTCAAGACTTTTTAGCTCAGCTGTCAAGTCATCTATTTCTTTCTGAGTATCTTTTATTTCTTTCTCTGTGCGAAAGACAGAGTCTTGCACCTTTTTAAGTTTTCTAAACAGGCAAAATGATACATTAAAAATGTGGTAATGTATGTTATTCTGCTTCTGAAAATCTACCAAAGAATTTCACGACATCTAATGTGACTTTTTTTACTTATGATTTACTAAATCATTCTTGAATCAGTTTTTTTTGTTTATACATTCGTGGGATAAGTTATATGTTTTATTAAACTCTCAGCATAAATTAATTTTCTATCTTACATAAACTTCTACTATCATCTTAGACTTTGTCCACTGAATTATCATAGTCTCTTGTCAGATTTGAGATTCTTAAATCTCTACACCCACAGAGTTATAACTTCCAAATAAATAACTCTTAATTCAATCCACGGCAAGAAGTGCTTTCAAAAAGGGGGCGAGGGGAGGGTGTGCACATTATTATTCCCCTAATAAAGTAACTTCTTTAGCTTAGTTTAGGCAGAATTCTGTTCTTAACATAAATAAAACAAATGGCTTATTAGTTCATCTTTGAACAAAAGCCACTAAAATAACTTACCAGATAATGTGCAATCAATTTGCTATATTTTTAAAAGAAAGTAAATGAAATAGCTAAAGCAGCTGTTTAAATCTCGACATTCTATATATACTTAGCTTTACTTATTTTAAAAACACTTCAATAAATATTCTAAAAAATTTTAGAACAGGATCTAAGAAAGGGTAAAAAAAAAAACTTTTTTTGAGTAATTTGGGACAAAGGAATATTCTAGCCAAGTAAAAATTTAAGTTAATCAAGACAATTCACTTTGCTAAGTGATCCCACCCACTCTTACGCCTTTCACACAATGGGGGAATTATAAAACTGTTTAACATAAAGGGAAAAAA